CTTGAACCAAGAAATTATTAATTGAGTAAAAGTATTTTTTTTTCTCAGTGTAGTATTTTATATTTAGAACACGTGTTTCGTAGCAGTACAATTAAAAAGCATGAATAAATAAATATTTTTTTAGTGTTTTTTGATTTTATTTTTAATAATTAAATTAGAACAAAAAAATATTTTAAAAAAATGTAATACTAAAGTTACACGGAAAGAACAAGATGACACTGGATACCATCTCAGATTATACTCAGTGACATCTGAGGCGAAAAAAAATTTCAGATGGTAGCTAGTATAATCCAGATTATACTGAATAATATCTGGATTATACTCATTGTAATCTGGATTATACTCATTGTTATCTGGATTAGACTAGCTACTATCTGAAAAAAATTTTTTCACTCAGTATAATCTGGGATTATATTATATCCAGTATAATCTTGTTCTTTCCGTGTACGTCAGAAAATATCTGTAATGTATTAAGAAAACAAGTTATTAGAAAAAATAAAGTATTAGAATTATTGATAAAATTCACGGAAATTAAATTGTACACTGAGAAAAAAAAAATACTTTTATTAAGAAAATTTTCTTGATACAAGAATTTATATTCTTGAAAATTTTCAAGAATATATGTATATATTTTTAGCTCAAGAAATTGTTAAATTGATTGAAATAATTTTTACTTAATTTAAATAAAGCTATTCTTCTCTTCTGAAATTAATAATTAATAATAACAGAATATTTTATCGTCAGCGAGTTTCTTGAGCCAAGAAATTGTTAATTGAGCAAAAGTATTTTTTTTCTCAGTGTAAAAAAAATTAAAATTGTCACATTGTCTGCCAAAAGATAAAAGGGCATTTTTTTTATTAGTCAATAGTTACACTCAATATAGTTGCTTATAATTAGGTAATAATATTAGAAGAGCTGCAAAAAAATTTTTATTAATCACTAGACTCTATACAAACCAAAATTAAATACCAGTGATTTTTCAAAGCTAAAAGGTCTAATGTATTTAATTATGTCTCTTTTTAAGTTTTGGGAATTTTTTAATTTTATGACCTAATGCTGTAAGGACCTGTAAATTTTTTTTATGTGCTATTTACTAAAATATTATGTTAAAGTCTAAAATTAAACAATAAATTGGCAGTCAATTAATGATAAATTGATTTTTTTTTAGGTTTTTAATAAATTTTGAGAAGAAAAAATTTAGTCATGTTACCATAATCCAGATTATACCAGCTACTATCTGAAATTTTTTTTCACTACAGATATCACTGAGTATAATCTGAAATGTAATCCAGTGTAATCTTGTTCTTTCCGTGCAGATTGATTTTTTTTTTAATTAAAAAATTATAAAGTGTCTGCTAATTTCAGAGTAATTATTTAATCTGCTGTTTTAAAGATTGGAAAAATATTTGGGAATTTTTTTAATGATTTTTATTTATTTTGTTTTCTTTTTTTTATAATTATCAAATTTGTGAAGAACAAATTAAAATTTTATGGGAAAAATGAAGTAATAAAATTTTATGGAATTCAATTTTCAAGTTATTAAATATTATGATTACACTGAGTATAATCTGGAGTGTTATTCAGTGTAATCTTGTTTTTTCCGTATACAAAAATAAATAATTGTTTTTTTTTTTGCTCTTTTTTACAATAATTCAACTCTGTATACTAGACTATTTTTTTATCTAAATTGTTTTGTAAAATTATTTGTCATCATTTTTTATTAAAACTTAAATTTTTTATGCGCTATTTTAAATAATTAAAAAAAATTTTTTTCCGTATTTTTTAATCAATAAAATCACTAATAAAAAAAATTTCTTCTTTTAGAATGTTTTCCACACCGTGCAAATAGTATCGTCGCACGTTTACAAACGGGCCGCCCAAGAAATGACGGATGTCAACACGTCAAGAATAATCCAAGTAGTTTCACCGGAAGACGTAAACTTTGCATTAGGAACAAACAACACCAATAATGATACAACAGTAGTGATCCAAAATGCAAATTTGCATCCAGATTCCGAGACTATCTGTATGTCTTTAACCGGGTTCATTTGTGGCATCGTAATGCTTCTTCTCGTGGCTGCAGTCGCCTCGATAGTAGCGGCTTTCCTTTTTATGCGCGTCAGGGAAATCGACTCCAAAAATACCAACGTCAACACTTACGGTCATCCGGTTTACGCTAAAAATTGTCCGTCCAACCCGGAATTCGTAAAAGTAACACACTGAGCGAAGACACGTTAGGAGTCAAGATCAAATATTAATCTGGAAGATGAGATGAAAATTAATGTGTCCTAGTCTATATCTTTGACTTCTTATTTTCTTCTTATTTTCCTTATTTATCATATTTTTTAATTGTATCATCAATTTCATTTTCATCGCCATCATTTTTATCAATACCGTTTTCATTATCATCTTCATTATCATCATTGCCATCATTGTTATCATCTTCATCATTATCGTTATCATCTTCATTAATATTATTATTATTATTATTATTATTACTATTATTATTATTATTATTATTATTATTATCTTCATTGTGCTTTTTAAATTGAATTCTTCGTTTCTCAATGTTTTAATATAGAAAAAACAATTATTTTTATGTAAATAAAATCTCTGTAGGTCTTTTGATGTATAGAGATATTGAAGTTTTAAAATGTCTGACTAAAATCGCATTAAATGCAATAAAATTCTTACCAATAGAATATTTTTATATTAAAAGATCATTCTGGTTCCGGCGCTCGAAAAAAAACAAATATTCATTATAAATAAATAAATAAAATTTTGCTTTATTAAAAAATGAATTTTGTTAAATTGCACTGTAGTTTCTTAAATATTGACGTTTTCAAAGATATAAGCTCATCCTGATGTTACACTCATCAGGAGCTTTCATTTGAGTACCCACATGCCTTTTTGATATATTTTTCATATATACATATATATGATATATATAAATATATAAAATATATGAAAAATTGATGTAGGTACTCAAATGAAAGGTTTCGATGAGTGTAATGTCGGGGTGAGTTTATATCTTTAAAAATGTTAATAGCTAACAAAATAATTGTTAAATTGCCCTGTACTTTCTTAAATATTGACGTTTTTAAAGATATAAGCTTATTCTATCGTTACACTCATCAAGAGCTTTCATTTGAGTACCTACATGCCTTTTTAATATATTTTTCATATATACATATATATGATATATAGAAATATATATAAAATATATGAAAAAATGATGTGGGTACTCAAATGAAAGGTCTCGATGAGTGTAACATCAGGATGAGCTTATATCTTTAAAAATGTCAATAGTTCACAACATATTTGTTGAATTGCTCTGTACTTTCTTAAATATTGACGTTTTTAAAGATATAAGCTCATTCTATTATTACACTCATCAAGAGCTTTCATTTGAGTACCCACATGCCTTTTTGATATATTTTTGATATATAAATATATATAATATATATAAATATATAAAATATATGAAAAATTGATGTGGGTACTCAAATGAAAGGTCTCGATGAGTGTAACATCAAGATGAGCTTATATCTTTAAAAATGTCAATAGTTCACAAGATACAAGGTCATTTCTTAATTATGTATCTAGAGATAGAATATTTTCGAATGCAGCCTAAATACTTACCCTAATAAATTGACTGTCGATGAGAATGATGTGAAACCTTGAAAAGGCACTTCTTCTGACGTACTTAGATGAACGCGCTTAAATTTTTTTTAATTAAAAAAAAAATCTTACCTAAAAAAAAAATTGTTTTTAAAAGTTACAAGCCAGAATGATCTCTAAGAGTTTAATATTGCGTTGAAATTTTCTGTTTTATTAATTAATATTCTTATTCAACTTTTAGCGCCTTGTCTTAAAAATTTTTTTTATCATTATTTAAAGAACTGAAATATTAAAGAAGAAATAGGATTAATTATTGAAACAATAAAAATTTTAACGAAATATTAATCTCTTTTAAAAAAATATTAATAACTAAAAAAAAAAAATTTTTAATTAAAAATAAAAACTAAACTCTATTGGTATGAATTGTCTTCTTGGAGAGCTGGTGTAAATATTTAGCGTTTCAGGGAAATAAATTAACTCTCCAAGGTGTTAAAATGCCCTGTACTTATAACATTGTATCATTTTATTTTTCAATCACTCATTCGTTATTTATATACTCACGTACTTTTTTTAACTGTCATACCTCATGCACTAGAGTTCCTTCGACTTATCAAACTTTTTGGCTTTGTATTTGTTGAAATATTAATAATTATTTCGATTACAAACTCAAAGAGTTTTGCTAATATTTATTGTCCTTATTCTTTAACTATCTCATTTTTATCTTAATAATTTTCTATTACACTAACTTATTTAAATTTGGAAGAAAATCATCAAAATTGTTTTTTATTACATTAAATATTGCTTATTATATTAGAAATATAATATTTCTTCTGTAATTAATTATCATTAAAATTACAACTCACAAATAATGGAAAGCGAACGATTTATTATCGTGTAATATTATTATAATTATTTTTATAATTACTATTTGAATATACGCTGATTTTTATTTATAAAAGTTATTTTTTTTATTAAAATTAATCCAATTTCCTTCCTCATAAAAATTTCCAGTTTGAAAAAATTAATTTTAGTGCTTTTAAGTAATTAATTTTTTTTTATGCACGTAGGGTAAATGCACCAGTTGTTGACCGGTCACCAATTAGTTGACCGATGTATAAAAAAGTTAATTAATTAATATTTTACAAGGGTTTTTTTTTTTCTTAAAGGATTAAAATAAAAAAATATGGCATTTAATCATCATAATAAAAAATTACGCAATTAATTGCGCAGTGATTATAGCTTTAAAAAAATATTCTGAGTTTGTTTACAACGCAACCAGCCATAAAGCGGTCAAAAATAACTAGCGTACAATTGGAGAGTGAGTGCATTTTATCATTAATTTAGTGATATTTATCGGCATAATATGAAATATATTTTAGTTTTATTATGTTAATTAAAGAGCAGATTCCAACTTTTTTGAAAAAATAAAGTTAAATTATAATTTTTAATATTATTTTAAGACCGGTCAACTATTGGATCCATCAGAAGCC